GCAGCCGAGCCGAATTCGGAGCTACTTCGCGCTGGCCAGAACGGCTCATCTGTTGAATACAAGCGCGGCCTTGCTGCGCTTGCTGCGTGGGGGACTCGTTGGCGCTACTCGGCGGGAAGAGCGACACGTCGAGGATGACGGACATGAAAAATAGCGACGGGGGAAGGGAGGAAGAGAGAAAAAGGGGAGGCCGTGCGTCCATTATGAAAGATAAGGGCGGAGGAGGAGGAGGAGGAGAAGGAGGAGGAGGAGGAGGAAGAGGAAGAGTTCGGGTACCCTTTGGGGCGCGAGTCTTCGCCAGCGCCAAACGACGGCGCGGGCAGCTGCACTCGCCGGGGCAATGCCCTCGGGTGTCGGCGCCATCTGTAGCTTCATCTTGCGAAAGGTGTGGAAAGCCAACACGAGGCGCTGGATCGTGCGATGCAGCGACGTCGCGCTGTCGCGGGCAGCGGCGCAGGCTGCCTCGCCCAGGCCCCAGGCCGCGATCGACGTGCGGAGGGAGAGGCGGGTCGGGGGGCCAGAGGAGGCTCCAGCGGCGAGGACAGGAGAGGCAGTGGGGAAACGCGTCTGCGTCCTGCGGGCAATCAAAGGCGCACGTTTCCGGCGCCAGCACGTGCATGCTGGCGGTAGAGGCCCGCCCTCCACTGAGGGTCTGAAGGACGGCCAAGCGCCAGCTCGGGCGGAGTCCCTGGGGAGTCCTGGACAATGATTCCCACCGTGCGGAGAGCTCCCCGGGAGGCGGCAGCTGAAGGCCCCCAGACTCAAGGCGCTTGGCAAGAGTGGCGGTGAACGGCGAAGAGTAAGCCATGCCTTGCGCAGCGAGGTGGCGATAGCGGGCTGGGCGCGGGCACTGCGCTGCGGGCCTGCGGCTGCTGCTGCCGCGACCACGGCTGCCCGCGTCGTGAGCATCGCGGATCACGTGGGCTGAAAAGATGCTGCTGCGCTGGCCAGAACAGAAGCGGAAAAACATGCTGCACAATGGAGAAGGGCTGCGCCCACAACGGCGGCGACCAGTGATCGCTTTCATCCCGGGAACGGTCGCGCAGGCGGGCGCGGATGTCCTCCCAGTCGCCGCGTAGCGCGACAGAGGCAGAGCGCATGGCAGCGACGGCGATGACGACCTGCATCGAGGCCGGGACAGGGGCAGGCACCCAGTCGGCCATCGCGAGCAGATCAGCTTTGCGAGAAAAGTTGGGAGGCATGGGCAACATGTGCGAAACATGTAGAACTGGCGGCGGACTATTGACTGCTCGATGGGAAAAAGCAGCGCCGCGTAGCTAAGCGTGGGAAGGACCGCGGCGCTGCATGAACGAACGGTGGCGTCGCTGCCAGTCTGGACGAGCTGCAGAAGATTGCCCCGCCGCAACCATTTCTGCCCTGCGGCGTGAAATTCGCCCGAAAGGGATGCCGAGGGCCCGGGAAGGCCCCCGGGCACCCGGCGCGCCCCGCGCTCGAAAACTCGCGCCAGAAAGGGGCGCTCTCGAAGACAAAGAAAGGGCCTGGGCGATGCTGGCAGGGTCGACGGCGCCCCAAAGCGGGGCGGCCACGCGCTCGCCGGGTTTGAAAGTGTGCAAGTCGAGCTCCGCGGCGGCGGCGAAGGGCTCATATCGTCAGCGCAAGCGCCCGCGCATCCGAGGCGCGGGTCGGGCGCGCCGTCGGCGCTCTCGACGAAGGAGGCGACGCGGGGCACCGGGGGGTCCATAGCAATCGCCCGCGCTGATCCGCTGGCAGGGTAACCCTGAGCAACGCCCCGCTCGGCGGCGAACGCGCCGCGGCGGACGCCGTCGACCTTGAGGAACGAGGGCGGGGCTGAGTACGCAGCGCGGAAGAGGTCAGGGACGCCAATGTGTTTGAGCGACGCGACAAGCCACGCCCCGCCGGGCGACGGGAACGCGGCTCCGAAATCCAAGCTGACGAAGATGAGGGAATGTTTGATGCGGCCAGCCAGGAGGCCAGCGCGGCGCATCTCAGCATTGAGGCGAACAACGCGTCGGGCGAAGTTGCGGCCCGCGACGAGGCCCCGCTGCACATCGCAACTCCGCCGAGCGACGTATTTTTCCAAGGGTCCGGCTGCGCCGGCGATGGCTTTGATGCCCGCGTCCTCCACGGAGAGAAGGCGTGTGCCTTCGGGGGCCCTGTCCGCGGTGAGCCCCCCGTGAGTTTGTCGCCCTTCGACGGGATAGCGAAGTCGGACTGAGTCCGACTTCGCTATCCCGGCGGGCAGCCTTCCCAGCCAGACCCCCCCGACCCATCCGATGCAGGCTCCCCTTCCCTTAGGGCAGGGAAGGGCGAGTCCGACTCGCCCTTCCCTGGGCAAGGGGAGAAGGAGACGTCCTCCAGGACCTCGATGGGAGCGGTCGCGCGCGGGCCGCGCGTTGCACGGCGGGCGGGGGGGGGGCAGGCGCCGACGGAGATGCGCGGGGGGGGGGGGAGGAGGAGGAGGAGGAGGAGGAGGAGGAGGAGGAGAGAGCAGGACGAGGAGGAGGAGGAGAGGAGGAGGAGGAGGAGAAGGAGGAGGAGGAGGAGGAGGAGGAGGAGGAGGAGAGGAGCGCATGTCCCCAGAGAGAGAGAGAGAGAGAGAGAGAGCAGGTCAGACTGGAGACGGGCTGGACAGGGCGGGATGGACGGGGCGGGATGCCTTGATCTGGCGCTTGCGCGGGGGGCCGACGTTGATCAGGTCGCCGCGAGGCACGCGCTGCTCGACGCGCTGCTGCGCCGTGGAGTCGTCGACCACCTTCGCGGCGAAGATGGCCCCCCAGTGCGCGCGCGGGGCGTCGGCCATAGCGCAGCTCATTCTGGCTATCGCACTGAGGCGGTCCTGGGGGCCCTGGGTCTTGTCTCCTTGGGGGGCAAGTCGACGTTTCCAGGGGGGCCAAAGGTGCGCGCGTTTCTGGGGAGCCCGAATGAGCCTGCGGAGACGCCCGCGGGGAATGGCGCCCTCCTGCCCCTGGGGGCTGCGCGCGGCGCTCTGAGCCAGAGAGCGCTGGCGAGCCTCGAAGTCGCGGCGCAGGGGGGCCCAGAGACTGGCGAGCAGGGCAGGGCTCCGATGGCGATGACGCCGTCGGCGATGATTACGAACTGCAAGCCGAGGTCGGCGGTGGACTGGGGGCGCCCGGTGACGGCGATGTCCCGTCGCGAGGCGGCCCGCGACTTCGAGCGCGCGGCGAGGGCGCGGCCGCCGGGGTAGCGGGGGCGGGCGGCGTCGCCAGGGGGCGGGCGAACCCAGTCATCGCGGACCACGCGAGCGGCTTCAGTCACGAGGCGCTTGCGCGGCCGCCAGCGGTTCTCGATGGGGGCTCGGGCGGTGTTTGAAGCGTCTCAATGAGCAGCTGCAGGTGGCCGATGTAGCGTAAGTCGCGGTTGATCGCGGGCGGCCCGATGCACATTGCGAAGGTGGCGACGGCGCGGTCGCTGGGGCGCTGGCCCGACGAGGTGGCGGCGTCGCAGGTAATGTCCTACCGCGGGTCGAGCTTCTGCGCGGCGTGAGATGGGGGGCCGGTGGAGAAAAGGTCGATCGCGGGGGTCGCGTAATCAGAATGTTGAACCTGATCGGGACGTCGGACTCGATCTCGAGCATGTATTCGAAGAGCGCCTTCCAGGAGGGCTGCTGCTGGCGGTTGCTGTGATCGCGCGAGGGGCGGGCATGCTGGGCAGGCGGCTGTAGGGAATTGTCGGGGCGGCGGCTGACAGCGTCGAAACGCGCTGCGCTGGTTGCCCTGCTCCGCCCATTCACGATGCGCGAGCCATGCTGTGCGGGCCCAGTCGTGATCTCGCGCGCTCAATTCATGGTCGTGGGCGCTGATCAGGAAAAAAGCGCAGCGGCAGGCGGCGTCGGCGATGGCGAGCAGCTGGGCGCGCGCGCGGACTCGGGCGCCGCGCGAGATGATCGGGGGCTGGTCCTGCTGGAGTCGCTCGAGCTGCGTCGGCGCGAACCAGGGGGCGCGGGCGGCGACGCCGCCGGCGGCCACGGGCACGGCTGCGCGCCCACCCGCGCGCGGGGCAGCGGTTCGGATCCGCGGACCTCCTGAAGGAGGACGACGCACTGTCGCCGAAGAAACATGGAGAGGGAGGCCCGCTTACGTCGACGAAGGGGGCGCTTGCGGCGCATCGTCGCTCGGGCGCCCGAGCAGACGAACGCGGCGGGCGACGGGCCTTCGGGCGCCAGCCGTGGCGCCCACGGGCGGTCAGGACCGCCGCGCGGCGGACTCGGTGTCCCGGAAGAGGGCCTGGAAAGAGGAGAGGACGGCCGCGCGGTCGACGCCGTAGAACTGCTGGAGCTCGAGGGCCTTCTCGTTCCACTCGAGGACGGCGGGGGTCAGCCTGGCCGCGGATGCCGAGGCGGATGGCGGGCGCGGCGTCGCTGTGGACTTCGCCCTTGCCGCGGGTGGCCCGCCGCTGCAGGTCGGGGCGCTGGTGTCGGAGGAACGACTGGAGCCTCTTGCATTGGATCTCCTCGCGGGCTTGCGTCGTGGACTTGTCGCCGCTGAGGAAGATGTCCTCGCGCTGCCAAGCGGCGTCGGCGGCGGCGAAGCGCTTCCCCGCGGCGTCGCGCAACGCGCGCTGCAGGGCGAGGGCGCTCGGAGCAGCGACTTCGCGGGCGCCTTTGAAGAATAAATCGGCGGGGGGGCGCGCGGCCGTGGAGTTGGACATGGACAAACCGAACGCCGGCTCCTCCGATCCACTCCTGCCTGTCATTGAGGAGGAGGAGGTCGGGCGGTGCGAGGCGCTGGCAACCTGCTGAGAAGATCGCGGGGTATGAAAGTCTGAAGCGCGGCCCCATTCGGCGGGGCGGACTGCGTCGACGGCGATGGCGACCTGCTCCTGCGCGAGGATCTGTAGGGCGGCGCCCAGTTCAGCGGGGGGGCCAGATGAGCGCGCAGCTGGAACGGCGCCAGGTGCAGGATGTGCTCCAGAAGGGAGAAAGTGCGTGGCAGGCTGGGCAGTTCCTTGTGGGGGCTCTTGCGATGGGACGATGGAGAACTTGACCGAGCCCGGTGCCCGCTCCCATGGATCTCGCCCTTGGAAGACGTCGTGGCGGGGCCCGTCGCCCGACGGGCCAGCGGATGAGGCGCGGGTGGCGAAGCGCGCTGTGCGTGAAGAACGAGCCGCGTCGCGGGCCGAAGAGCGGCCTGCAAGGGCGACGTCGTCACGTTGTTGAGCGGCGAGAGGACCGCGGGCAGCTTCGGCGCGTGGGCGGCTTGCTTGACGTTGGGGGCGATAGCGATGTGCAGCATGATCGCGGTGTCCAGCTTTCTGTCGGCGGCGTCGCGGGGCTTGCGTTGAAGGGAAGCTGCGAGATGCGGAGCGCCCGTCGCCGCTGGAGCTGTTGCTGCTGGCCACGGTTCCGAACTGGGCTTGGCGGGCGAGCTGCGGCTGATGTCCGCGATGAGCAAGTGACTGCCAGCGGCCACGGTCGATGCGCAACCAGAGCGTGGTAGCGGCAACGGCGAGGAGAAGGCCAGCGGCGATACGCACGGCTCTGAGCGGCGCTCGCCGAACGATATGGAAGGCACGGAGCGGGGTTCGACGAGCGGATGTGGAAGGCTCGGAGCAGAGCTCGACGAGCAGATATGGCTGACCGCCTGCAAGGCCAGTGTGAGAAGCAGGAGAAGCTGGGACGGGCGGCCGCAAGACCCTGCTTGCGGCGGCAACTCTGCGCGGACTGGTAGAAGCCGACTGCGTGGAAGCAGCGAAATGTACGCCATCTTGGCCTCGAGCCAACATGGTTCCGGAATGGAGGGAATAGGGAGGAGGAGGGCAACATTATGCCAAGCGAACGGATGGGCAGGGGAAGTCACCACTAGCCCATGTACTAGGCTCCTGGCAAAAGACACGGCGTGGTTTGCGTATGCGGCTGCTGGACAACGGATTCCAATGCCGGCTGGGGCGCGAGAGAAGCCACCGTCATATACAAGGGATTGGGACTCATGTGCACTAGCATGAGGGAAAGACGCTTGAAAGACAGCTGAGGTGTTTAGTAAAAAAGGCGCCGCGGTGACCGACATAGGCACACTTAAAGGCGCCGCTGCTACACACAGCCGTAAGGACGATGAGAAAGTTAGGAAACCGCACGCACCATCCAACACGTGCGAGAGCGGCGGGTTGTCCCATTTGGATATTCGGACGGTGAACAAACGTATCCGCCACCATGCCTCCTGGTGCTGCCTGGCAGGGTTTCTGTAATCTTCCAGGGGACCTACCCACCCCCCACCCCTCCCTCAGCACCCCCCATCAGCCACCCTCCCTGCTCCTGGAGGCCACTGGGTGGCCATCGCGCTTCCCTGGGGGGCACGAAACTTGCCAATTAGGCCGATGAGGGCTACCAAGGCCGCCGAGACGCCCGATCATGCCTTCAACACGGCCTGCAGTGGCTCCAGGCCCTCGAGACCCCGACGAGGTAGAACCCAACTGTTTTCCTTTGGTCTTTCTGTGTTCTTGGGGCTATCGCGTTTCAATACGGCCCAAGGCGGCCCAGGAGGCCTTCAATATCATCCCAATGGGGGCCACGAGGACCACGAAGACTGCATCGACGGCCGAAAAAGGGGATCACACCAGCCAGCGGCCACCAGCGCCCCAAAACAGCCCAAAAGAGCCTCATGGGGCCCCTGAGACTGTCCCACAGAGGCCCCAGACAGCCCTAAGACGCGAGCCCCATAAAGGGCCTCGAGCGAAGTAACAACTACACGCGCCACACAGGACAGCCTTCTTCTACCACCTCCTCTTCATCATCCTCCTCCTTCCCCTTCTCCTCCTCATTGTCGCCCCCCCACCCCCTCCTCCTCATCCTCATCCTCTTCTGCGACAGAATCAACAACACCAACAACACCAACAACAACAACAGCAACAGCGGCAGCAACAACAACTGTTACTACTGCTTCTTCTCCTTCTTCTTCTACTACTACTACTACTACTACTGCTACTACTACTACTACCACCACTACTACTACTACTACTACTACGACTACTACTACGACTACGACTACGACTACTACTACTACTACAACTACTACTACGAATACTACTACTGCTACTACTACGACTAATAATAAGCATAATACTAATACTACTACTACTATTACTACAACTACTACTACTACCACTACTACTACTACTACTACTACTACTACTACTACTACTACTACTACTACTACTACTACTACTACTACTACTACTACTACTACGACTACTACTGCTACTACTACTACTACTACTACTACTACTACTACTACACTACTACTACTACTACTACTGCTGCTGCTGCTGCTGCTGCTGCAACGACTACTACGACTACTACGACTACTACGACTACTACTACTACTACTACTACTACTACTACTACTACTACTATTTCTACTACTACGACTACTACTACTACTGCGACTACTACTAGTACAACGGCTACTACTGCTACTACTACTGCTACAACTACTACTACTACCACTACTACTACTACTACTGCTACTACTACTAGTACTACTACTACTACTACGGCTGAAACTACTGAAACTACGACTACTATTGCTACGACGACGGCGGCGACGATGACGACTACGACTACGACTACGGCGACGACAACAACGACGACGACGACTTCTACGATCACTACTACAAATACTACTATTACTACTACTACCACTACTACTATTACTCCTACTACTACTACTACTACTACTACCACTACTACTACTACTACTACGACTGCCGCTACTACTGCCACGATGACTACTACTACCACGAGTACTACCACTACTACTACTACTACTACTACTACTATTACTACTACTACTACTACGACTACTATTACTACTGCTATACTACTACTGCGAGCAGTACGATCCCTACGGCTACTAGTGCTAGTGCTACTACTACTTCTCCGATCTCTACCACTACCACTATCACTACTACTACTACTACTACTACTGCTACTACCTACTACTACTACTACAACTACTCGTACTTTTTTACTACGATGACTACTACGACGACTACTAGTCCTACTACTACGACGACCACTACTAATACGACGACTACTACTACTACTACTACGACTACTACTACGGCTACTACGACTACTACAACTACTACGATGACTACTACTACTACTACTACTACTACTACTACTACTACTACTGATACTACTACTACTACTACTACTACTACTACTACTACTACTACTACTACTACTACTACTACTACTACTACTACTACTACTACTACTACTACTACTACTACTACTACTACTACTACTACTACTACTACTACTACTACTACTACTACTACTACTACTACTACTACTACTACTACTACTACTACTACTACACTACTACACTACTACTACTACTACTACTACTACTACTACTACTACTACTACTACTACTACTACTACTACTACTACTACTACTACTACTACTACTACTACTACGACTACTACTACTACTACTACGACTACTACTACTACTACTACTACTACTACTACTACTACTACTACTACTACTACTACTACTACTACTACGACTACGACTACGACTACGACTACGACTACTACTACTACTACTACTACGTTACGACCACGACGACGACGACTACTACTACTACTACTACTACGACTACTACAACTACTACTACTACTACTACTACTACTACTACTACTACTACTACTACTCCTGCTACTACTACTAGTACTACTACTGCTACAAGTACTGCTACAAATACTACGACTACGGCTACGTCTACGACTACTAAGACTATTACTGGCGGGGGGACGGGACTGGGCATAACGTAGGCCGCCCCCCCCAAGATTGTGGAGCTGGACGCACTGCGGCAGTGCCGGGGGCGCACTGATGGGGGGAAGCGTTACGTCATTGGAGGGGGACGGAGGGGGGATGTAGGGGGGCATAACGCGCGTGATGGCCCAGAGGGTAAACAAAAAACGCTCTCGTGGGGCTCGGGTTGGCCTGACGGGGCCGTCAAGATAACGATGAGTCCCCGTGCGAAATCTGGCGCGGGTTCCCGTTGCCGAGATCCCACGGGTACCGGGCCGCCACAGCTCAGGACGGGCCCGTCCAAAACATGTCAGCAAGCCCAAGTTCCAGCGAACGTGAGTCTTACGTTTCCCCGACTTTCCCTCGTGGCAGCTCTGTGCGATACTGTTGTCGCCCAGCTCTCGGACACTGTACTCAGGGCGCGAGCCCCGCCAGCGCGGCACGCCAAAGCATAAGCAGGGCGTCGCTGCAACAAGTAGGACCCTGCTGCCTCAGGCAGGGTTTAAGCAAGGTCGCCCCCTCGCCGGCACGGCTCAAGCGGCCCGTCGCCCGCCGTCCCTGCCGTCGCCGCCGCCGCCACCGTCGTGTCCGTCGTCGTCGTCATCGTCGTCGTCGTGTTGGTGGTCGTCGTCGTTGTCATTTCCGCCGCCGCCGCCATCGCCGTCGTCGTCGTCGTCGTCGTCGTGGTGGTCGTCGTCGCCGTCGACGCCGTCGTCGCCGTCGCCGCCGTCGTGGTCGTCGTCGTCGTCGCCGTCGACGCCGTCGTCGCCAACGTCGTCATGGGCGGCGGCGCCCCGCGGTGGCTCCTCGCGCTCGGCCCAGGCGGGCGCGCGCCTCGCCGGAGGCTGGCGGGGCTGCCTCCGGGGGGCGGGCGGGCGCCCGGCCTGCCCCCCGCGCCAGCGCACCCGTTGGGGCCGCCCTGCTGCTGCTGCTGCTGCTTTCCTCGACGCTGCGAGAGCTCGGGGCCGTGTGCTGCAGCGGTCGGGCGGGGCGGGCAGAACTCGCGCGGGGATGCCGACCTGTGCCTGGAGGTCGTCGTCGTCGTCGTCGTCGCCGCCGCCGTCGTCGTCGTCGTCGTCGTCGTCGTCGTCGTCGTCGTCGTCGTCGTCGTCGTCGTCGTCGTCGGGGCGGGCAAAACTCGCGCGAGGGTGCCGACCTGGGCCTGGAGGCCAGCGGATGAAGTCGAGCAGGCGCCGCGGGTCAAGCATGGCGGTGGAGGTCTGGGTAAAGATGCAAGCCCGAAAGGGCACAGCGTATACGCCGGCCAGATAGTAGGGTGCTGCTGCTGTTGCGGCTGCTGTTCCTCCGCATCCTCCCCGATCATCCTGGTTCCTCCTCCTCCTCCTCCTCCTCCTCCTCCTCCTCCTCCTCCCTCCTCCTCCTTCTCCTCCAGGAGTGGCGGAGGACGGGGGAGGAGAGGGAGGAAGGAGGGGAGCGGAAGCAATCGCAGACCATGCGAAGGGTGTGGCAAGCTCTCCCTGCACTGTGCCTGGCGCGACCTCTCGAGGCCAGACACCTGGGGAGCCAGCACCCGGGCGAACGGCACTGGCACAGGAGGGAGTGCAGGGAGGCACGCCCCGAGGGATGGCACGCCCGACGTGTCAGCGTCGCCGTCGCCCCAGGCAGAGGGGGGGAAGAGTGAGGGGGGCGGAGGGCGGGAGGGGAGCAAAGCGGAGGCGGAGGAAGGAGAGGAGCAGAGGGAGGGAGGGAGAGGAGTGGAGGAAGGCATCAGTGGTGTGGAAGAGGAGTGCAGGAGGAGGAGGAGTGCAGGAGGAGGAGGAGGAGGAGGAGGAGGAGGATGACGAGGAGGAGGAGGAGGAGGAGGAGCAGGAGGAGCAGGAGGAGCAGGAGGAGGAGGAGGAGGAGCAGGAGGAGGAAGAGGAGGAGGAGGAGGACGACGAGGAGGACGAGGAGGACGAGGAGGGAGGGCCCCCCCCCCGACGCCCGCCTGCACGCGCCACAAGCGGCGGCTCCCCTCGCCCGCCCTGCGGCGCCCCGCCGGACGGGCGAGGCCTGCGCGGGCCGGGCTCGTCGGGTGGCCGCCTTCGCCGTTCTGGTCGCTTTCGCTCCGCGGGAGTGGGCAGCTAATCGTCGACGCCGACGCCGACGCCGCCGCCGCCGCCGCCGCCGCCGCCGCCAACGACGACGACGACGACGACGACGACGACGACGACGACGACGACGACGACGACGACGACGACGACGACGACGACGACGGCGGCGGCGGCGGCGGCGGCGGCGGCGGCGGCGGCGGCGGCGGGGGCGCTTCTCGGCGGAGGACATACGGCAAGGAAGACGAGGCCAGGAAACGTGGCAACATCGGACAGGTCTAAATCGTACAGTAGGGGCCCGACCACAAGAAACCTTCCACAAGAAACCCAACCCTGAGACCCCAGGACGTCCATTGATTTCTGGTGTGGGAACGCCGCGCTTTCCATAGCAAGACCGCCGAACAGGGCACCCTGGAGGCGAGCAGGGTGCTGCTTGGCGTGGGTCCCCAGTGTGGAGGTCTCTCAGATGGGGTCCGAGTAGATAGGGTCGGGGGATCGCGCCGCATCGCCGGTGCATCGGCGACGGCGGCGGTGCATCGGCGACGCCAGCACGGAGCAAAACAGGCTCCGCAAGACGAGCAGGCTCGCGGGAGCCCCGGGCGCGTACGGCTGCGGCCTGCGGAGAGTCCGCCCCCGAGGCTCCAGCCGGCTTCGCTCGCCTGGCGGCGCGACGCTGCGAGGCGTGCTGCCCCGGAACGCCCGTTCTCCTGGCGTCTCACGGGCCAGCCCCGAACCGAACGGCCGCCGCCGTCGACGTCTGTTGAGCAGGGGCCGACCGTCCCGGCATTCCTATGGTCCTACCACGACATGTTCTTAGAACCCACTAATGTTCTAAGAACAAAAACAGTGTTCTTAGAACAAACACCCGATGTGCTAAAACACGCCAGGCTCCGCCAGAAATGTTCTAAGAACATCTCGTGGGAACCACAAGAGGTTCCTGGAACATTGTTTGGTAGGGCTACAGGCGAGCCAGGACGCTTCGCCACTGCTTGAGTCTGCCTTCCCCCCGCTCTTCCCCGAGATCGGGGAACTGCACTTTGTTGACGCCGGGCACCTTCCGCCCGGCCTCGGGCCCCGGGGCCATCACAGAGCGATCCAGCTCGAGAGCTGCTGCGGAAAGATGGCGTCCAGGGCTCTGGTCGTGGCTTCCCGTGATGTTGCATGTTTGGTTTGCAGCGTCGGATCTCACGGGGTATATCTGCTGCGCCTGGCCTTCGGGCCGATTGGATTTGAGCAGGGACCGACCGTCCCGGCATTCCTATAATCCTACCACGAAATGTTCTTAGAACCCAAACTGTTCTAATAACAAAAGCACTGCTCGTAGAACATAAGCACGATGTGTTAAAGCAAGACAGCTCCAGCCAGAAATGTTCTAAGAACATTGGAACCACAAAAGGTTCTTAGAACATTCTTTGGTAGGCCTATGGACACGCCAGGACGCTTCGCCCCTGCTTGATGGATGTGTTCCGATCCCGCCGGATTTCCATCGGCTCCAGGATCTGGGGGCCGCCCTGGGGCCCCGAGACGACCCAGAGCGGATCCGGGACCCCGAGCGGCCCCCAGGCAAGGGGTCCAGGCCTCTCGGGCCCGCGGGATGAACAGACAGCTGCCCGTCGCAGGCCTGGCTCCGGATCGGGGGCGGCTCCTGCGTCCTTCTCCTGGCGGGCGGGGCTGCGGGGCCACCTCTGCCAGCGGCCAGGAGGAGGGCGTCCCAGCTCCCAGCCGACGGGAAGGGAACTCCACAGCGCCCGGTCGAGCGCCTGGTCGAGCTCAACGAGTTCGGCGGGAGGGCGCAGGCAGCGCTGAGCGGCGCCTCCTCCCATCCTCGCTCCTCCTCCTCCTCCTCCTCCTCCTGCTCGCTTCTGCTCGCTTCTCCTCGCTTCTCCTCGCTTCTCCTCGCTTCTTCTTCTTCTCCTCCTCCTCCTCCTCCTCCTCCTCCTCCTCCTCCTCCTCCTATCCCTCCTCCTCTGAGACAGAATCACACCCCTCAAGAACACGAGACCCTCCGTCGGCCAACAAAAACACATAACATCCAAGGGTACCCTCCACAGGATGTATAAGAACGTCCAACACGCACGAAAAGCACTATGGGCACCCTCCCCGAACCGACCTCGACCTTGTACTTCGGTCCGACTGTAATTCTTGGGCCTTCAGTCCTCAGCCTTGAAGAATCTGAATGGGGGCCCGACCCAATCTTCGAGAATTTCTTGGGGCTTCCCGCGTCCCCCTTGGGACCCGCCGCGGCTTCCCGCATGAACTTCTCGGGCCCAAGAGGGCCCGAAAACGGGCCAAGAGGGTCCCACGAGGCCCCCAAGACGGTCCAAGAGGGCCCCGAGTCGTCGAAAGATCGTTCCAAGACACCCAAGATGGCGTCAAAATGACCCAAGAAGCCTCTGAGACGCCCAAGGAGGCCTCCTAGAGGCATCCTAAGAGGGCCCCCAGAGGCAAGAATCATTGATTTGCCTTTGGTTTTAAAACGATGTGGGCGTTCTCGCCTTTGCGGCTTTCCGACGCTCCAAGACGGCCCAAGAGGCCCCCAAGACCAACCCAAAACGGCCCAAGAGGCCTCCAAGAGGGCCCCAAGACGGCCTTGGAGCGCCCCACGACGGCCCCAAAGGCGCCCAAGACGGCCAAGGAGGGCCCCAAGACCGCACCAAGAGACGCCCAAGAGAAGGAGCACGAACCGAAAATCCGAGCCCTCCGCCCCAAGAGGCCCCCAGGAGGCCCCAAGAGGCGCCCAGGAGGCATGAAGAGGCCCCCAAGAGCCCTCCAAGAGGTCCCCAAGAGCCCCCAAAGCGGCCCCCAAGTGCTCCAAAAAGGTCCCCAAGAGGCGTCAAAACTGCCTCCAAGAGGCCAGATCCCAACGAACATCCAGCAGGTTTCATACCCACAACCCAGGGACGGTCGGTGGCGGGATGGGCCTAAGGCTATTCGGTACAACGCCATGGGATGACAGAAGACTGTCCAGAACGGGGATGCGATTGCCCTCAATTCACAAAATTTCGAATAGATTCCTGGTCGAGACTCACTCTCAGCCAGACGTTTCATCCGCAGAGATGTCGAACGAGATCAAAACGCCCCACCCGAAAAACACGAGGCAAGATATCGTGTATCTGCGGCGGAGTTTAGAGACAGCATCCCTTGTTACGACCAGGGGCATACTGGGGATTGATGAGGTGACGACGTCGTCGATAGTTTCTGACACCGCCTGGATCGTTCAACCATGAACGATCCAAGCCCTCGTGGGACAGCGTTATCGCCAAGTGGGCCGTTTGCGCGTGCTCTGGGAAATCGAGAGAACGACGCAGTCCAATCGCAAAGCCTGCTCGAATTACTGCCAAACTTCCACATCTATGTCTACCTACAACGAAAAATTACGACTACGGACGCAGCCATGGTGCGAACGATTGCGACTAGTTTCTGCTGCTCTGGATCATTTGGAGGAAAGGCGGTTCAATCATCTTTGCGACGGCGACGGCGGCAGCAGCAAGCAAGAACATTCGCCTGCACCGCCAGCGCCGGCGGATGACAACGACGACGACGACCTTTTACCTGATTCCGCCTGCCATGTCACGCCGCAGCAACCCGACGAGCAGGGCTCGAAAGACTCAATCAAGAGGAACATGCTATACAAGTGTAAGCGGCACGCTCTTCACACCGAGAGCTCTCCCCGAACGGGGGTCCCGCCAGAGGTGGATTCAATCCGTGGGCCCCGCGGGCTGTCGACCCCTTCACCACCGCGCCGCTTTCCCGCAACTGTTCTTGATTGACGTTCCCTGGGCGTGGGGCGTGGACGCGAGCCCTGGGGGCAGGCACCGCAGAACCTCCTCTCTCCTCTCCCATAGGCGTTCCAAGACGGTGCGGTGACAGATCGCGCGGATACCTCGAAATCCTCAAAGACCTCACCGCACGGTCCGTCACCGCACCTCTTTGAGACTGTGAGGCCCAAATCGCCTGAGACATCCTCGTAGAGCGACCCAAATCCCAAAACCGTGTGACCATCCCGACTGCCCACTGACTCACCACACAGTGTGGCCACCGCGCTCCTTGGTGGCCCCCGATCTCTCTCCTCCTCCTCCTCTTCCTCCTCCTCCTCTTCCTCCTCCTCCTCCTCCGCCTCCTCCTCCTCCTCCTCCTCCTCCTCCTCCGCCTCCTCCCCCGCCTCCTCCAACTCCTCATCCCCCTGCTCCTCCGGAAACAAATGGAGCGAGCCCAGCGGCGGACAACGAAACATCGGCCTCCACATCGAGCCGCATCGCCGATGCATCAGCGATGCGGCGCTATATACTCCGACCCCAACTGCTCCGACCCCACATGGGAGGCCCGGACCGGCCCCCCCCCCGCCGTTGCCGTCCGACACGAGAAGGAGCCTGGGACTGGACCAAGTGGCGCGTCTCGAGGAAGAACCCGCCAGAGATGGTCTGGGTGTGCTGCCCGGTGTGCCTCCTCAGGCGCCGACGAGAGAGAGAGGGGGGGGGGGAAACCAGCCCCCCTTCGCGTCGTGAAGACAACGCGATGGAGAGTCTCCCGTTCTTGCGAAGGCCCTGCGGCCGGCGCCGCCGACCCTGAAGGGGGACGACGAAGACGAAGACGGCGACGACGACGAGGCTCGCGAGCCCTCGTGGGGGCCCCGGCGGGCCCTGTTGGCCTCGGGAACCCCTGCCAGGACCCGCCCTCAGAGCGATCCACCCCCCCGGGACCGCCAGCCCCAGCGGGGAAGAGGGAGCAGGGGCCTTCCCTTCGACTCGACTGGTGCTCCCCCCCCCTGCGGCTCTGTGGGGCTCTCGTGGGCCGTCTGCGTCGGAGAGGGGGGGGGGGGTCACGACCCCAAGGACCCCCCCCCCCTGGGGGAGCGACCCCCCCCCAGGTCTCCTCCCGCGACCCCCCCCCCCCCTTCCCCAGCCAGGGGAAGGAATGAAAGGGACGAGGTTTCCCTTTGACTCGATTACGACGGTGTTCGATTTGCGTCTGGCTGGGTCGCTTGGGGAGGAGGAAGGCCCAAAGAAAAGGGGAGAGTGGCGACGGCGACCTAAACGGAAAAACGTCTCACACACGCCGACAGGGTCGGCAGATTGTTGGCCCCCGGAAGCCCTCACAGGGCCTCGGGACCGTCAAAGAGCAGCTCGGGATGCCCCTGGAAATGGCCCCGACCTGTGGGGTCCACGTCATGAGAGAATCACGATGTCGAGGGTCTGGGAAAGCGCGCCGGCGCCGCTTGGGAATCGCTAGGGGTACCTGATTCACAGACGGCGCCAGCACGAATCGTGGCGTTACTGGCCCCCTCCCTCTCCCCCCCCCTCCCAGCCACCCCGCGTGACGGCCATTATTGACGAACCAACAACACACACCCATACCCATAGTGGGGTCGGAGAGGGCTATGGGTGCGTGTTGTCGAATGGGGGTCCCCGCTCGAACGGAAGCGTTCCCCAGGGTCCAACAACCCGCACCCATACCCATAGCCAGTCCTCCTCCCAACGACCCCCCTATGGGTATGGGTGTGTGTTGTTCGTTCGTGAATTATCGCGAGGGGGCAAGGCAGGCTGGAGGAGGGAGGAGGACTTGGATGATAGGGGGGACCACGTGCCCGAGATCTGGGCGCCGGTCGTTTGTCCGCCGCGCGCTTCCGCCAAATTTGCCCCGAGCGAGGCCCTCCCAACTCCGACCGGGAAGAGCAGTGCCACCGAAAGACGTGGGGGGGGTCGAGGGTCCAGGTCGTGAGTTGACACGCCGTTGTCGCAGTTGTCACGACGTGGACTTTGTCGCGACGTCGGATCTCGAGGCAGGGAGGACGGGAAAGGAGAGGAGGAAGACGAAGAAGAACTCGCCAGACATCGCCTGGGCATGCTGCCCCGTGCGCATTCTTTTGGGGCGACCTCCCCGGCTGGCGCGCTGCCAGGACACAGGCGCGCCCGGAAGGGGGGGGAAACCCAAGACATCCTCTGGGCATCGCTCGGACGTCCATTCCCTGTGCTTTTTTCGGTTTCGTGCGTGATTTTTTCGCCAAATCATAAAGGATGCTCCTCGATGGTCCTCGCCGAAGGAAAAATGCACACGTCCGAGCGATGCCAAGTCCTCGGGCGGAAACTGATGGGGGGCAACAGGGCACGAGCGACGAATCCATGTGATCCCCATGCCCTCGCGCTCTGGACTCTGGGGCGGGATCCAGTGGATGCGCGATCGCAGGGGTACATTCCGCGCAGAAGCCGCCCCGTCTCCATGGGGCTGCGGCCGAGGAGCCCGGCCGCGACGCCAAGAATATGGATACGATCGCGGGCTTCTCGACGTCGGCGCTGTTCACAAGGGCGGATGCGGGGAACACTAGGCTGAAGTCGGGCATGTCTCTCTACAGGGCGAATTTCCAAAAATAACCAAAGAAACAGTCTGCGAACGATTGTTCTACTATAGTTTGCAATGTGTTGCATCATATTTTTAGAGAAGTTTTTGTTTTCGTCGAACAAAAAAACGCCTGTATGGGGACAAGCCCGACCTATCACTAGGGCTCAGAACTGACCCACAAATCGGCGCGCTCTCTCCCGACAAAAAACCGCCCACTGCCTCCCCACTGTGATGGCAACCCGCCGATCTTTTTTGACCACGCCCACCTGCTTCCTGCCCACGGATACCCATCGGTCGGAAGGAGTGGGTAGAAGCATGAAGTAGGAAGGCGTTGGAAATGGATTGGGTTTCCGCCCGCCCCCTGAAGAGGGAAGAAGGAAACCGGTGGATAAGGCGCGAATAATAGATTGGGACCTGGGAGTCCCCAACAAGCTTTCAACGACCGCTGGGTAATCGTGGGGGCAGCCGGGTGCACGAGAGTGGCTCCAAAAAAGGTGCCCCAAAGGCCCAAAGGGACCCCGAACTGCCACCCCGCCTGAGCTGCTGGACACTCTTCCGACCCCCCCCCCCTCGCGTCGCGAAAAAGCACGACGGGAAGTGTTTGCTGTGCTCGGCCTCCGGTGGCGCTCAACAGGGCCTCGGGACCGTCAACAGAACGACTCGGAATGCAGAGCCGGTCCCAGGGAAAGGGCCCCGACCTCGGGGGGGTCCACGTCATGAAAGGAGGCGGGGGAGGACGAGGGAGGAGGGAGGAGGGACGAGGAGGAGGAGGAGGAGGAGGAGGAGGAGGAGGAGCAGAGGAGGAGGGAGGGAAGGAGGGAAGGAGGTAGGGAAGGATGAGGGAGGGAGGGAGGGAGGGAGGGAGAGAGGGAGGAGAGGAGGGAGGGAGGGAGTGAGGGCGGGGAAAGGGAGAGAGGAGAGAGGAGGAGGAGGAGGAGAGAGGTAGGGGGAGGAGGAGGAGGAGGAGGAGGGGAGGAGGAGGAGGAGGAGGAGGAGGAGGGAGGAGGGAGGAGGGGAGGAGGAGGAGGGAGGAGGAGGAGGAGGAGGAGGAGGAGGAGGAGGAGGAGGAGGGAGGAAGAGGAGGAGGGAGAAGAGGAGGAGGAGGAGGAGGACGAGGAAGGACAAAGGAGGAGGAGGAGGAGGAGGAGGGAGGAGGGAGGAGGAACGAATCACGACGTCGTGGGTCTGGGTCCACCCAACCCATTGAGTTCCCCTGCGTCACCTGCCGACCGAGGAGGCCCCGACATCCGACCCTTCGCTCGGCGAGTCCCAACATCTTCTTGCTCCAGGAAGCCGGAAATACATATGGCTGGACTCGCATGTGGGGCGTTCCAGAAATGGCCTGACGTTCGGGGGTCGAATGAGTTGTCATTTCCGCCGCGGAAGGCGGCAGAAGGCCGGCGGAAGGTCGGCGGAACTATAACGAGGCCGCCTCCGCCGGCGGCAGCTGGCGGAGGGGTGGCGGAGGCGGAAGGCGGCGGAAGTGAAAGATGCGCGACTCTCCATTCCTCCTTGTCCTCCTCTGGACTGGTTCGCCTGTTCTTGCCTGTCAGCAAGCGTTTTTCCTGCCGCAGGCTGATGCCTTGAGGTGACTCTGGTGAGAATGCGGTGTGCACCGAGGCTGATTAATTAACAGAAATGCCTCGCAAAGCAATTTGAGACCCAACTGACGTCGGATCCACATCGGAGTCACGTCGGTTTTATGTTGGATGTACGCCAGATTGACGTCGTAGTTACGTTGAACGTACGTGGGAGCATCGCCGCGGGAACGTAGTCCCCATACCCGACGCGGCGGACTTGTAGACGCGATGATACAACTAATGCGCGCAGCGCGAGACCTTCATGACTTCCCGAATCGAGCGGACAATAAGCAATGGACAGTCGGACTTGGGTTCTACTTCTGGCCTCGGCGGCACTCGCGTGGACTTATCACCGGGCGTGGCATAATCTGGATCTGTCTGGCTTGCAGCAGCTGTCAGCGTGAGCGGGACTGCTGGCGCACGAGCGCACGGGCAGAGGAGCACGGCGGGAGGAGGGAGGCGGGAGACGCGCGGCGCAGCGGCCGAGGAAAGACGGTGACCCGCCCACGGAGAGCGAACGCGATGACCCAACAACAGGGCGGCTGGGAGCAGAACGCGGCAGGCACGGAGAAGCTCCTGGCTTGGCGCCCTGCTTGGTAGAACTCTTTGTACACGTCCGCGGGGATGTCCGTGGCGCTGTCCACGCGAACCATCGCGGCCGGTGCGGCGGAGCACTGCCCGGAGGGGAGCAACATACTACTTCGAGCGATGGGCGGGAGAGCGTCGCTCCCGTTGGTTGTGGCGGGCAGTGATTTGCAATCTGCCGCGTGCCGCCTTCTCCTACAGCGGGAGAGGATGATCCAGAAACATATCACGTAAGAGACCTGGGCCAGCTTCCAGGAACTTCCTGAAGACAAGCCTGGGCCAAATGTTCGTGTTAACGCCGGAAGTGGGAAACCGCTCAAGAAACTGGGCCAGCCTTCCGGCAAGCTGGTTAAGAAACGCTGGCACAGCTCTACGGGAAGAGGTCTCTTAATCAGATGCTCGACTGTACCCCATGTCGTCACCCTTCTCTTCCTCGTCGTCGTCATCATTTTCGCTGTTGTCGTCGCTGCCTGGTTCCAAGTCCACGTGCTTTCCGCTATTCGCCGTTCCTCCCCATCCTGCGCCCGCCTCCCTCGGCCCCAGCCCATCCGGGTTTCACTACGCGTTTGCTTCACAGTCTCTGGGTTATTACTCCGTCCAGCCCAAACTTCAAATATCAGGCGGGTTTCGGAATTCTCTCACACATGCAGTGCAACAACAGTTGAGCCGACTAATTTCGCAGTTACCGGGGGCAGCAAATACAGCACAACCCTCACATCGAACTTACAACTGATAGTGATACGTTTCGGGCTGCAAGTGCGACCGCGGGCTTTTGCAACACAACAAAACCTGGCAGGCACGTGTCTCGAATGTTTGTCCTTCTTTCCTACGTTCCCGAAGCGTAAACGACAAGTCGTTCTTGTGTTCGCGAAATTCTCAAAACCAGCAGCATTGGGTTTCGCTTCCTTCGGGAATCTAACCGCCCAGGCTTTCACATTACAGGCCCTGGCCCAAAAATCAGCCGAACCACCACCACAATCATGCCGCAATCCGACCTGAGGCAGAACCCGAGCCGGAAGCGTCGCGTCCTACCCCGAGCCCCCACGCCAACTTGAACACGAAACGTATGAACACAACCATGCAACCCGAATGGCGCAATCCAAAGAAACCGAACCTATATGGGGAAACCAAAAAGGTACCGATACCGCTACTCCCCGGACCTCTCCCGGGGTGCGCCCTGACCACAATTTCGAGGCGAATCCAGCGGTGGCGACGAGGGCCTCCGAGGAGGCCCAAAAAGGGGAAAACGAGGAAAGGGTAGTGGGTACCTTTTCCTCCTCTGACTTTCACGTTCGCCTCCCCCCCGCGGCGCTCGCGCCGCGCGGCTGCTCCCAGCCTGGCGGCCGAGAAGGAGGACGAGAAGAAGGAAGGAGGAGGGGCATGAGGAGGAGGAGGAGGAGGAGGAGGAGGAGGAGGAGGAGGAGGAGGAGGAGAAGGAGGAAAGGAAAAGGAAAATGACAAGAAAAAGGAAGAAGGAGGAGGAGGAGGGCGGAGGAGGAGGAGGAGGAGGAGGATCAGGAGGATCAGGAGGAGGAGGAGGAGGTTGCTCCCAGCCTGGCGGCCGACGCCGCTCGCGGCACAACCTGCGTCCCTACTGGTGCCTCCTCGCCGTCTCGCGGCCCTCGGCGCCCCCGGCGGCCGCGGGTCGCCCAGGCCGAGGCCCGCGCGCGGCCCAGGAGACACGCGCTCCCTGTGCCGCTCCTCCTCCTCTCCTCCTCCTCCTCCTCCTCTCCTCCTCCTCTCCTCCTGCTCTCTCGTCTCCTCCTCCGCCTCCTCCTCCTCTCCTCCTCCCTCCTCCTCCTCCTCCTCCTCCTGCTCTCTCCTGCCCTCCTACTCCTCCTCCGCCTCCTCCTCCGACTCTTCCTCCCTCTTCCTCCTCCTCCCTCCTCCTCATCCTCCTCCTCCTCCTCTTCCTCCTCCTCCTCCTCTTCTTTGTTTGTTCTTCTTCTTCTTCTTCTTCTTATTCCCTACCTAGGCTCTGCCTAGAAGGGTTCTTACTCTCTTAGCTTAAAGGGCCGGGCAGTGCAAAGCGCCCCGGGCGGTTCCCCCAGTCCCCTGGGAGCGGTTCCCCCAGTCCCCTGGGAGCTTTAGCTTTAGCTTGAGCTAAGTGAGCTTTAGCTTAGCTTTAGCTTGGCTTTAGCTTAGCGTTAGCCTAGCTTTAGCTTAAGCTTGGCGTTAGCTTTAGTTTTAGCTTTAGCTTAGCTTTAGCGTTAGCTTTAGCTTAGCTGTAGCTTAGCTTTATCGTAGCTTTAGCTTAGCATTAGCTTAGCTTTAGCTTAGCTTAGCTTCAGCTTAGCTTTAGCTTAGCTTTAGCTTAGCTTCAGCTTAGCTTCAGCTTAGCTTTAGCTTAGCTTCAGTTTAGCTTCAGGTTAGCTTCAGCTTAGCTTCAGCTTAGCTTCAGCTTAGCTTTAGCTTAGCTTTAGCTTAGCTTCAGCTTAGCCTTACTGTTACTACCAATGCTGCTTTCCTAGGGGCTCCAACTCCTAGGCAGAGTCGCACTGGGATAATTATTAGTATTAATATTCTTATTATTATTATGATTATTATTATTATTATTATTATTATTGTTATTGTTATTATTATTATTATTATTCTTATTATTATTATTAATAATATAATTATTATTAATATAATTATTATTATTGTTCCTCTTCTTCCTCTTCTTCCTCCTCCTCCTCCTCCTCCTCCTCCTCCTCCTCTCTCCTCCTCCTCTTCATCCTCCACCTCCTCCTCCTCCTCCTCCTCTCTCCTCCTCCTCTCTCCTCTCAATCCTCCTCCTCGCCGTCCTCTCTCCTCTCTCCTCTCTTTCTCTCCTCCTCCTCCTCCTCGCTCCTCCTCCTCCTCCTCCTCCTCCAACTGCTGCTTCCTCCTGCTTCCTCCTGCTCCTCCTGCTCCTCCTGCTGCTCCTGCTGCTCCTGCTGCTTCCTCCTCTCCCTCCTGCCTCCTCCCTCCTCCCTCCTCCTCCCTCCTCCTCCTCCTCCTCCTCCTCCTCCTCCTCCTCCTCCTCCTCCTCCTTCTCCTCCTGCTCTCTCTCGCTCTCCTGCTCTCAGTCCTGCTCTCCCTGCCTCTCTCCCATCCTCCTCCTCCTCCTCCTCCTCCTCCTCCTCCTCCTCCTCCTCTCCTCCTCCTCCTCCTCCTCCTCCTCTCCTCCTCCTCCTCCTCTCCTCCCCCTCCGCCTCCTCTCCTCCTCCTCCTCCTCCTTCCTCCTCTCCTCCTCGCTCGCCCCTCCTCCTCCTCCTACCTCCACTCCTCCTCCTCCTCCTCCTCCTCCTCCTCCTCCTCCTCCTCCTCCTCCTCCTCACTCCTCCTCTCCTCCTCCTCCTCCTGCTTTCTCCTGCTCTCTCCTGCTCTCCCCTGCTCCTCGATTCCTCCTCCTCCTCCTCCTCCTCCTCCTCCCTCCTCCTCCTCCTCCTCCTCCTCCTCCTCCTCCTCCCCTCCCTCCTCTTCCTCATCCTCCGCCTCCTCCTCCTCCTCCTCCCTCCCTCCTCCCGCCTCCCGTCACCCCCCTCCGTGTCCTCCCCTGAGATCATGGCGCCCCCATTTGTCCACGTTGGTCGTCGTCGCATAATTTTTCGGGCCCTGGGACCCTCACAGCTCGATCCGGCTCGAAAAATGGCGCAGGACGATAGGGTCTGGGGCTCCGGTCGCAATTCGCTGCGAGGTTGTATTTTGATTGGCAACGTCGGGTCTCAGGGTTCCCTGAGATCCGACGTTGCGAAAACAAACACATCGTGCTAAGAAGCCGCGCGCGGAACCTCAAACCTCTGCGACACTCTTCGAGCCGGAGCGATCCGTGAGGGTCCCCCCGGGGCCCGAGAAACGCAAGGCAAGAAGAGAACACCGGGCGCGACAGAAGTGGAGGCGACAGGATCTCAGGGACGGCCGAGCTTTCCAGCCCCCCGGCGTCGTGACTTTTCTGTGACGTGGCCCCCCTGGAGCCTGGACACCTTTCCCGGAGACCGGCTTGACGTCCTGAGCAGTTTTTGGCCGGTCCCGAGGCCCGGGAAGGGCCCCAGGAGGCCGACAAGAGCAGAAACCTCCCGTCGTGATGGTGTCTCACAACGCGAGGAGGTCTGGGCTCTTATCTGGAGGCCTCCTAGATGGGTCAGAGTAGATGGGGTCGGACGATCGCGCCGCATCGCAGATACATCGGTGATGCATCGCCGATGCATCGGCCACGTACTGGCGACGTCGGCGGTGCATCGGCGACGTCGGCGTGGAGAAAATCGGGTTCCGCATCGAGCCGCATTGGCACGGCATCGGCGATGCATCGCCGATGCGGCGATAACTCCGACCCCATCTGCTCCGTCCCTATCTGAGAGGCCTCTAGACAAGAACCCAGACCTCTTCGCGTTCTGAGACACCATCACGACGGGAGGTCTCTGCTCTTGTCGGCCTCCTGGGGCCCTTCCTGGGCCTCGGGACCGTCAAACAACTGCTCAGGACGTCAAGCCGGTCCTCGGGAAGGGGTCCATACTCACGACGTCGCCTGGGAGGCTTAGACTGTCTCAGGACGCGAGGGGCTCTGGCTCTTGCCTCTCAGGGCCGACCAAGAGGGGGCGTCCAAGAGGGATGGGCGCAAACCATGGCCAGCGGCATGCGCGCGGCCAAGGGGGGGCCAGGGACGAAACGAAATAAGAAGGTGCGACGTAAAATCTCAGGACATATCATGGCCCACGCCATGATACCCACCCCCCCTAATCATCGCCCCCCTCTTTGCCGCCCCCGACATCGTGCCGAATCGAGCCGCATCGGCAACGCATCGGCGACGCATCGCCGATGCGGTGATATCCTCCAACCCCACCTGCTCCGACCCTATCTGGGAGGCCAAATTAGGTGGTCTCACGACGCGAGCACTTGTTTCAAGGCCCCGAGGCCCGGTATAAGGGCTCCCGGAGGCCAAGAATAGCGAGAAGAACCTCCGGTATTTGTTTCGCAGCGCGAGGAAGTCTGGAGCTAAAACCCTCCTGTCATCTTTCTCCTCCTCCTCCTCCTCCTCGTCCTCCTCCTCCTCCTCCTCCTCCTCCTCCTCCCTCCTCTCCCTCCTCCTCCTCCTCCCTCCTCCTCCCTACTCCTCATCCTCCCTCCTCCCTCCTCCCTCCTCTCCTCCCTCACTCCCTCTCTCTCCTCCCTCCCTCCCTCCTGACCTCCCTCCTCCCTCTCCCTCCCTCCTCTCCCTCCTCCTCCTCCCGTCCTCTCTCCTCCCTCCTCCCTCCTCCTCCTCCTTCCTCCCTCCTTCCTCATCCCTCCCTCTTCGCCCTCC